CAAAAAAAAAAAAAAAAATACATATATATATATATATTTTTTTTTTTGAGAATCTCCCTCTACACATTTGCAGTAAGATGGAAAATGCACGTTTTTTATATTTTGGATGTATTATAGGCTTCTCACTGGATCTAGCACGTTTTTTTAAGAAACATCAAATATATATATATATATATATAAAAATTTTTTAAACATACCAATTTTAAACACATTTCAACCTATAATTAAAAAAATGTGCATTTTCCTCACTGCAAATGTGTAGTGGAAAAAAACCCCTCAATTCTCATTATTGTAATGTGTTCTGAGGCTTTTTTTTTTCTGTACCTTCCTGTTATTTACTGTTAATTTCGTTAACGAAAAGTATGACACAAAATGTTTGTTGACGAGCTTTTTTCCCCATGACTAAGACGAGACGACAGTAAGGTCAATAAATGATAACTGTGACTATATTAACGTGCAGCATCAATGACGATAAAAGACGAGACTGCAACGTATTTTTAAAAATAAAAACTATACCAAAATTTTAATTTTCGTCAAACAAAACAATCAACACACGAGCTTTCATGAGTGCGGTTGCCAGATATCAAGAGTCTAAATCCCCAAATCACAGCTTCTCTGTTAAAAGGATGCATTTGGTGTTCTGCTTATCAATCTGGCAACCGCTCGCTCTTCATCACGGAAGCGCCGACGACGATCTGCGTGCGAGATGTTCAGTCAGTCTGTGCTCTGTCACGAGATCTCGACTGTGTTGATTGTGTTTGCTGAAATAAATTAACCGCCGTTGTTTTAATAGAGAAAGATGATTGCAATTTGGAATTACTATCAGGAATTTTACTGTTAAAATAGTTTTTGTTCGTTTTCGTAATGTAGACGGAGAGAGTGCATATCAAAAATCGTTGATATTGATTTAGATATTAAATAGCCTGTAATAAATCAGTGCACTAGATGAGATCAAATCAAGTCCACATTCTATTGATTTGTGCTTGATGGTGAAAGAGCAATACCTTGACATTTCTCAAATAACAAGCTTTTCTATTGTAATTTTTTTTTTTTATCAGTTTAACTATTATTCAGCATGACACACGTGATCGTTTTCATTCACTAAAGCTAGACTAAACAAAAACAGGACAAGCTTAACTAGAAATTATAACTAAAAAGCACATCCGACGCAGGACTAAGAGTAAATAAAAAATGACAAAATGAACGCAACTGTTATTATTTAAAAAATGGTGCTTTCTTATATGAACAAAAACATTCAAATACACGTGAAAAGATTAAAAGTAACAAAATGAATAGAAATTAAAAGACGGCAAAATATAAAATAAAAATACTACCAGAATTCATGCAAAGTGTGAGAAATGAGAATTCGGGGGGGAAACCTAATTGTAATGAAAACGTCAAATACAAAACAAAATCTTTTCCATTTCCTCATAAATATGTCTAGACTTGTTCACGGATTTGTGACATTCATATAATTCAAATATTTCTTCTGCTGTTTTCTTCCGTCCATCTAGTCATCTAAAGAACCCCGTCATCGCTCAGAAAATTCAGAAACTGATAGATGTGGGGCTAATAGCGATCCGGTGATCAAAGAAAGAGCAGAAAAACCAGGACATTATTCATCTGCAGAAGAGCGGCGGCTTTCCAAACCAATCATTCTCAACCTGACCCCTCTCCGCTCGACCCAATAGAGAGTGTGTGTGTGTGTGTTTTAAGCCTTAATTAGATTAATGTGGCTCAATCAGTCTTTCCTCAGCATTCACTAGTGTCAGTCATCATGGCTTTCAGACGGTTTATTCTTCATGAAAGGAAAAGTTTGAGAGCATCTAGCCTTCGATACATTACTGTGTTAACAGAGTGGGTTTGAGCCTTCATATCAAAAACACTATTATGTTTATGGTTTGTATTTATTAGATTTTTTCTACATCTCAGTATTCGGCAGATTAAATGCAGATGTTCTGGTTTTGAGGAGAGGGCAGGGAAGCATTGTGACATTAATTCTCTCATAGGCCTGTAGAAACCTGTCTGTCACTGAATGTGAATGCATGGCTGTTATTGGACTCTGTAATGCTCTTCTGTTGAGGGCTCGTTCACGCTAAACTGCCTCCCACCTGTTTGCCATCGATTAACTGACTGTGATTTCAGCTTCACCGTATTGTAAAGCAGCATCAGTTTAATAAAGTTCTGGATCCATGAAGCTGTGTGACCTGTGTGTGTAACTCGCCATGCATTCATCGTGGGTTTTACCACTATGTTTGCATTATGCAGGTTGTGGTTACAATGTGCAGTATACGATCACATCACAGTGTTTGGGAGACTGTATCTTGACCGTCAATTTTCAGCGTGATTTGACTAAGAAGCAAAATCAGCTGCCATTTTTACTATCGCCTTCACACATTGGCTGTTCATGCTACAGTCTGCTGTTAAAAAAAAAAAAAAGTATATGAATAGGACACGCATTATGCAGTTTCAAACAGTTCTATGCTGCATGAGTTAATTTTGTGCATGATAATACAGTGTTGTAGTCAGAGGCTACCATCAACAGTTTGGTTACAAACATTCTTAAAAATACAAAAAAAAAAAAATTTTTTTTAATTCTTACAAATGTTGGTGTTCAGCAAAAGACAGAAACTCACACAGGTTTGGAACAACTTGAGAGTGAGTAAATGATGACAGAATTTTTATTTTTGGTGAACTATCCCTTTAAGGAAAACTGCAGTTTGAGCAATTAATTAAAACTACACTAACAAAATGTTATTAATGGCAAAACATTCATCCTCCAAACTATGTATTTACCCAAATATTCTGCTATGTTGATTTATTTTTCATTGCTGTCGGGATGGATTTCGCGGGAAATTGCATGCATGCGTCATTCACGCGTGAGTGTGAAGTAAAATCTGTACACAGAAAAAGTAGCTGAAGCCCAGCAAACAATGTTTGGTTCTCTTTCAAACATTCGTTCGGTATCTGACCAATCCTGACCAATCCTGGAAGCACCAATTACACCACGTCTGTCAGTTGACAGACCAATCACGACAGTGATGCAGGGAGTCCTGCCTCCATATATATATCACTGCATAACGGTCCCTACCGCATTCTCATTCTGTTCCCTGTGAAGATCTTTTGGAAACTAAATCCTCGGTTGCCCTCTTTTCAGGATTAGCTGCTTAACTGTTCTTAGACGAGCCGTCAAGTAGTGTTGTCACGGTACCAAAATTTCAGTATTCGGTACCAATACCAGTGAAAATCCACGGTTCTCGGTACCGAAGCAAAACACAAAAACATGCTAATTAAAAATTTTGACTATACATTCATTTAATCCAAACGGTGTACATATTTAATTTTAAAGGGATTTTAAAACCTTCTAGAGTTATTCAGCCAAGAATTACAACTAAGTTAGCTAAAAAAATAAAAGCCAGAACTGCTGTTCTGACTGATAAGACACAAACAATGTTTACCATTTGTACATTCTCTAGCGCATATTTTAGATTCACAATTCATTTAAAAGCCTCTGGTGTGTAAAAATAGTAAATATCATGTCCTCCTGTTTTTTTTTTAATCCTAATAAAAGTTATAGGAGCATTAAATAGTTAATAAAGAAACTTCATTCTAATGCTCATTATATTAGCGTTAGCCGCGCTTATGCTAACGATTACCTACTCTAATAACAGCATTCATTTCAATCCGACATTCAAATTAAAATATTGAATAATATTCAAACAGAAGCGGTGTTTCCCACAGACTTGCACTCTATTTGTGGCGGCATATATATATGCAAATTCATTCTCTACCAGCAGAAGGCGCTTGTAGAGCGTGAGAGATCGAGACCAGTCGTTTCCTTCAGAAGTACAGTGATATAAAAACACCTTCACGTGCAGTGCTCATGTTTATTCAACGAAGTCAAAGCCTTTTGGAAAATCTATTTGTGGCGGTCAGTTTTGATATTGTGGCGGGTGCCTCAAATAAATCAATGTATGGGAAACACTGAGAATATCTAAATATTAAAAATTAAAATGAAACCTACCTGCTTGAACTCTTTCATTTGATCTGGGTGTCTGTCTTTAAAGTGTTTTGTTAGTTTGGTGTGTTTCCTCATTTTGAGGTCGCCACATCTAAGTGCTTTTATGAAGAGAGCGCATCTGCGCACCTTTCGGATAGCGCATCAATAACCAGGTTTACCGGGTACTCGGTACCACCTGGTACCGTAACGTTTTCATTTTTTTAGTACCGACTTGGTACCGAAGTACCGGGTCTTATTGAGTCGCATGCCCCGGTTGTTAAAACGGTAATTCCTGCAGTCCCTGCGTGCGTTTCAGAAATGAAGCATTTCTGGGACAAACACTGGGACAAACCCCAGACTGGGTGTGCACAACATGGAGGGGCTAGGGATGTCAAATCCCCCTCCTGTTGAGCTATCAGTGGCACATCATCTTAACCCTAATCGCAGAGCAGCTTTTTCTTCTGACTCAGCTTCACTGCCAGCACGTACTGAGCACTTAACAGCCTCAGTTTTTCAGAAAATCTATCATTCCTCTGCTCTGGCAGTGAGGGCTCTGAATGCTACCTCTATCCTCACTGCTTATCAAGCAGAGCTCATGAAGGAGATGGGGAGACAAATGGATGCTGGGTCACCAAACCCAGCTCTCTGGGAAGAGATCTGCGTTATTGCCAATCTCAACCTGAGAACCTCCAGGGGCGCAGTCCAGAGCTGCGGCCGCAGCATGGGCTTGGCAGTGGTGGGTGAGCAAGCTCTCTGGCTGGGACTTTCAGGGCTATCTGACAGAGAGAAAGCTGATTTCATGGATGCCCCGGTTGAGCCCAAAGCCCTTTTCAGAGCATCAGTCACTGCTATGCGCCAACGGTGTGATCTGAGGAAGCAGGAGGGTGAGGCTTTCCAAGCTTGCCTCCCCCGAAAACCCATTCCTAAGGCTTCTCCATTAGCATACTCTGGTTTTGATGCCCCCCTCAGAAGTGGTCAGCCGGCTTTCAGGAGCCCCAGACCTCCCCAGCCTCAGCAGACTGAGGCACAGCCTAAGCCAGCACAGCCCAGGGGAAAACCTTCCTTTGCAGCAGCGGCAGCTAGACACAGACCGGCGAACCCTCAGGGAGGGAAGAAACACCAGGCAACCTAACCCGTCCTCATGTTCTGGACGAGGGGACAAGCAACAGCACTCGTGGAGTATCTGTTGTTATCCTCCCACTTCCTTTGCAGCAGCGGCAGCTAGACACAGACCGGCGAACCCTCAGGGAGGGAAGAAACACCAGGCAACCTAACCCGTCCTCATGTTCTGGACGAGGGGACAAGGAACAGCACTCGTGGAGTATCTGTTGTTATCCTCCCACTTGGGAACTGTCAAAAAGTTCTCTTTTGACCAGTTCAGGTGTGGAGTTGGCAACAGTTCCCCCAGTGCCCCACAAAGAAGTTCTCCTCCCTCCACCCACGGAGTTGCCGGAAAGGGCAGAGGGCAGTTCACAAGAAAATATGTGTGGTGTGAAAATAAAAAAAATCCCTGTGCATCCAGGCAGTGGGCCGAGGGCACAGCAAGGTTTGAAAATAAAAACACACACAAAACCAAAATTACTCAATTCAGAGCTGCAATCCCCAGCTCCCCCGCGTCATTAGAGGGCGAGAGTTGCTGCGGTCCGCTCGCTGCTCACGTGGAGAGCTGGCGCGCAGGCGCAGTACACCCCTGGGTTTTATCTATGATACTGAAGGGTTATCATCTGCAGTTTGCTGTAAAACCACCAGTGTTCAACAGTGTGTTGATGTCAGCCGCAGAAGGGGAGTCCGCTCAAGTTTTAGAGGAAGAAATAGCCGCTTTAATAAGGAAAAGAGCAATTCGAATTCTGCCGCCGGAGGACAGCCGGCACGGCTTTTACTCCTGGTACTTTGTAATTCGCAAGAGAGGGAGAGGTCTCCGTCCCATTCTGGATTTGCGGAACCTCAACAAACACCTCAGAAAATACAAGTTCAAAATGCCCACATTCAAAGCGCTGTCACATTTTATTAGCGAGAAAGACTGGTTCACCTCAGTCGATCTGGAAGACGCATATTTCCATATAGACATCTACCCGGCACACAGGAAGTTCCTCAGGTTTGAAAAGCTGCCTGGTGCCCACACAGGAGATAGTCTATCTAGGCCTCAGACTGAACTCAGATCGGTATCAAGCGTCTCTGTCAGAGGAGCACATCAGGTCAATTCGCAGCTGTCTATCCCTTTTTCAAAAAGGGAACAAAGTCCCATTCAGACTGTGCTTACGCCTTCTGGGGCTGATGGCCTCGACAGTCTCGGTTATTCCTTTGGGACTGTTGCGAATGAGAGAGTTTCAGAATTGGACAGCAGCACAACACTTATGTGCAAAACGCCACTTCAACCGCAGAGTGATGGTGTCACCACTTTGCATGCGTGCTCTCCGTTATTGGAGAAACCGCTCGTTCCTCGAATCAGGGACTCCGCTGGGTGCAGTTTCCATGAGGAAGGTGGTAACGACGGACGCGGCGCTTTCAGGTTGGGGTGCAGTGTGCGAGGGCAGAATAGCGAACGCTCTGTCTTGCTGCAGAGCATGCACATAAATTACCTAGAACTGTTAACAGTGTTTCTAGCTTTGGAACATTTTGTGCAGTTTCTGCGGAACCACCATGTTTTGATCAGATCAGAAAACACGACCACGGTGGCATTTATAAATCGCCAAGGGGGTACACGCTCCCCTCAGCTTCACAGTCTGGCACAGAAACTGATTGTGTAGGGCAGGAAACATTTTCATTCATTACGGGCAACGCACGTACCGGGAATAATGAATGCGGGGGTGGATCTCCTGTCCAGGGGGAATCCTCGGTATGGAGAATGGACACTTCTCCCTCAGGTAGTGGGCCAGTTGTGGAAGAGATTCGGCCACTCTGCCGTAGATCTCTTCGCATCGCACGAAAACACTCACTACCCTCTGTTCTTCTCGCTAGCGAGAGACGGTGCGCCTATGGGTGTGGATACCCTGGCGCACCCGTGGCCAAACGTACTGCTTTACGCGTTTCCTACGCTAAGTCTGATCGTACCAACTCTAAGAAGGGTAAGGGAGTGCGGTCACTCAGTCATATTGATTGCCCCGAACTGGCCGGGGAAATTGTGGCTGAAAGAGATAATGCAGCTCCTATGCGACCAGCCCTGGCCTCTCCCGATTCGCAGAGACCTCCTCTCACAA